AGAGAGAGAGAGAGAGAGAGAAATAGCTGTCTCAGACCCAATCCACTACCCCGGTTTCTACTTCAGTTCCCATAAAGGCAAGTTACACATCACATGAAATGCCCCTAAATCCCTTTAATAAACCACCTACATGTGAGATGGTGAATGCATTTTCTTCCCTAGCAACTAAGCAATTTTGACTAAAAAATGTGGATCCTTTTCTGATCTTCCAATGAAATTTAGAAAACTTCCAATACAAAGCTATGGAAATTTTACATGTCCAGCCACAATGCTGTAAATTTTATGAGGAGGAGGAGGAAGGTGACACGGTGACTACATTGAACTTTACTTATGGAAAGGATGAGCTTATTACAGCATTTTTTTTTTCAATTTGTGGAAAAGTCAATCAAACAGACTGTTCTTTGAATCTTCAAATGCTTCTGCTCTATGCTTCATAACAAAAATAAATATCATAAATATTCCTTTAATGAAAGAAAGGATCAGTGAATTATGATTTTTACCACCATACCCAGGGTCCCAGTTTTACCAAATCAATCTGTGAGCTTGGGATCACCCCTTATACCCCCTCTCTTCTCTAAAATAAAGCATTCCTCTTCTCCAAACCACACTGGAAATCATATATATCATATATCACATGTAATCATGTATCGTATATATTCTATTCTAGTTAATAACTTACAACAATGGAAAAGTGGAAAATCTGACCCTCCTGAGCCTCTGGACATGGACTAATTATTAGTCCAGCTGGCCTCTCAACCCTGGTACAGCTGCCAGCTTTCCTTCTCTGTACTCAGATTTCACATGGCACCTAGTTCAATCCCTTCCAGAATGCTTTTTTTCACCCCCATTGAGCCCTTCCTACTAGGTCTGGCCTAATTCCAATCCCACGGGCCAATAAACAGGCTGACCCGGACCACCAACGCCTAGCCAGAGAACCCCGCTCCCATCCCTCCCTTCCCACCTCCGCCTCTTTATCTGCCTCCCTCTGACACCCCGCTCCTGAACCTCTAAATTCCCCAGGTATTCCTATTGCCTGGTGAGTAGAGCTCTTAACAATAGATGAATGGAAAGATCAGAAAAAAGAGACTGTGAGAGACTTGAGGACACACTCTACATCTGTCTTGCTCGAATTGTACCCTAAGAAACTGGCATAGGGCCCGGCATGAGGAGGTACTTCAAGAATATTGTTGAACAAATTAACTACAAGAACAGTGGAATAGCAAATCCCCCTGCCTGCACCTAACTACGTACTCCCATTCTCTCCGAAGGGAAGCCGCCCCCAAATCCACAGGCTCACTGCTTCATCGTTCTTAACCTGACCCAACTTCCAACATTGCAGGAAACTGACATCATTTCATTAAAAAAATAAAAAATAAAGACAAAGTCATTTCACATACTGAAGGTACCTTTCTTTAAAAAGCTCTTCCAAATGTTATTCTAGGGTCCTTTAAAATGTCATTTATTTTCTATGACAATTATTACAGGAAGGTTATGAGTATATAAGTTTAATATTAATAAATCAACATAAATACCAATCATAAATCATATTATAATTTATATTATACAAACATCATAAAAAACATAAAATATGAACTTACATGTTTGGACAAGTTAGGGCTCTTTGAATCAACATCATACCTAAGAGATTAAAACATAAAACTCAAATTATTTCCGTAACATACAGCTGCTTTGATAAAACAAGTTTAAAACTTCTCTTTCCTGTGAAGCAATAGTGTTCTAATATTATTCAAAATTCCCCCAAAACTGCAATTCCTCTTCTCTGGATACCGTTAAAGAAACAGAGAGGCTGGTGACAGCCTGTCATTAGTATACATTTTAATTCTTATTTAATATCTTAAATACTGTTGTTAACTTGGAAAGTTGGCTAAAGGAAAGAGACATTATTTTTCCCCAGTCACAGAACTTGGAGAAAAACATGTATTTTACAGAAAGAAAAATGTGTTTCTATAGGACTACTATATATGTCCTGTTTTAGACTAGAGTTGGTACTAGAAATGAATATTTTCTTGAAGAGATCCTGGGGAAATATCATTCACTATCACTTTGGCCCCTCTTTTTAAAGAATTTATAGAAATAGTAAGATCACTAGGAGTCAAAAGGACCAGAATTTGCTGAATTCTTGAATACAAAAATATTTGTACGGGCTCCAGTCTTTCTCCCAAATCATATTTCTCGCACATTCTTTGTGCGTAGCTTCTTAACAAAAATTAACTGCCACTTTGTAAGATTAATTAAAGTCTTCCCTCTCACATAACAAGAATATTTTCACAAAGAAACAAAGGATCTCAATCAATAAGAGGCCAAGGATCGGAGTCCACAGAGTGTACTGATCTGGGCAGAGGTGCACTTGTTCCTTAGCAAAATCTGTTTACCACACGTTGGCTTTAAAATTATGTGATGCAAATACCTGCCTCGGGGGAATCACTCCCCTCACTGCAGGACGACCTGAGCACTCTCAACACTGTACCCTAGAATTTTAAATCAGCAAATGGCCTACCTCTTCTAAAGACCTGCAGATGTTCGTAAAAAAAAAAAACAAAAAAATGCTTCTTATCCAAGAAACTTCTCTTTTTCAAGATTTTTTTAAGGATAAGATTGAAATTAGCAACTGCAGCAGTATCAAAGGTGAAACATAATTGTACTGGCTCCTTCCCAAGAATTAGTCCTGGAAACTGTTTTGCTATAAAGGATTTCATGTAAACTGGGGAGAAATTACAAGGTATGTTCTGTTAAAAGAAGCAAAAAGAAAAGAGTTTATGTTTCATCACGAAGGTTTATCTTCAAATACAACCTTCTTCCATTGTCTTTAGCAAAGCTTTTTAAATGCTATTATCTCAAAAATAGGTAATTTACTGCATACCTCTAAAGGCTGTAGATAATATGTTGAATTACAATGCATTTGAAATGACAGTGATTTTTCTATCGATGGAATTTTCCTTCTAACTTTTCTAAAAGTATCAAGACTAACTCTGGTCCTCACCCTCACAGGTCAGAACATAAACACTACATCCTAATGGTTACTCTCTCTCTCTCTCTCTCTCTCTCTCTCTCTGTGTCTGTCTGTCTAGGTCTATCTGTCAGTCTAGGTCTATGAGTGTTACACTCTCCTTCCTTAAGGAAGGGAGAAAACATTGCAAAGCAGGAAGCTCCGTCCTTTACCCTGAGCAGGGTGCACCCCACTGTGCCTAAATTTACTACGGAGAATCTTGTAAACAACTTCATCTCCCTACTGAAATCTCATTATTAGAGTACCTGATGGGCAAGAACTGATCTGGACGGATCCTGAGGGTTATGTTTTCTATTACACGGTAACAGATGTTGACTGGAATTACTCCTGTATTCTAAAATGCCCACTAATGTCCAAGGCTGAAAACAAAAGAAGCTAAATATGCCCATGCTTAGCGCAGCGCTACCAATGGGTGAGTCAGGCCCTTCTCCACAAAGCTTGCTCTTAAAGTGGCAGCCCACTCCCTGGCTCTTGGGAGGGCAGGAGAAGGGCCTTTCCACTGCCCAAAGGCAAGGGAAGGGGAGCTCCAAAATGTGGGGTGCTCATGAGAAGAGGAAGACAGCGTCCGGTTCCCCAGTCAGCTATAGAACTTGCCCGCAGGTGGCCCCTTTAGCTGCCAATGGGAGAGAATGTCAGGTCACGGCCCTAGGAAAGGCCTGGAGAGCTGAGGAGTAAGGAATAGTGTCCTTCTAGTGCCTCCTCCACAGGGAGGGGACAAGCAGGGTGCTCAGCACAGGGCCCTTGAGGCTGGTATCCTCTAAGGACTAGATTTTTCGGGAGGTAGGAGACCCGCATCCCTGCCCCCCCACCCCCCTCCCTTTCAGCTGGTCACCTCCTGTCTCCCCGGCAAGTAGTTGACAGGACAGCCCCAGCTGTTACTGTCGCTGCCCCAACTGAGAGGAGAGGACGGGAACTGAGTCTGAGGTAAAGGCTCTAAAGTGAAGGATGAACAACGATGAACAGAGGGAGATGTTCTCATAAAAAAGTGACTCCAAGTCATGAAATTAGACCCTTAAATAATGAAGCCCCTAACCAATAGGGAAAACTGGGATTGACAGTGTCGGGACAATTACTGGAAGAAGTCTAACAATTTCTTGGTATCGGGATAACAAGGAACTTTCACTTTTTCAATGCCTATATTACTTAAAGTTTATAATAAATATTTATTACTTTTAAATGAGAGAAAAGAATACAGATGAATAAGAAAGAAGAAAGAGAGAAGGGGAAGTAAAGAGAGAACAAAGAATCACAGAATAATGGCTGGTTTCAGGATACAGTTAAGTCTAATAGAGGGGAAAAATTAAGGGGGTACCTTGCTGGTGTAAGAAAAAAGGAAAATTGAGTTTTAAAATTACCATGGAGGCCCTGAACAGTGGGAGAATCAAACCCCATTCTGCCTGATTTACATGTCTGCTTTTAAATAACACTATACACAATCTCCATGATAAACATGGTCAGGAAATCATTGCATTCCACTACTTTTTTACTCATGAGCCTCATTTTTATGACTTCGAAAGGAGTTGCAAGGAAATAAAAACCAAAGGTGGCATAAAACTTTTTACTTGATAAATATAATGAATACTTAGAACTCCTACAAGCCTTGAAGGAAAGGGACTTGTATAAAATTCTGTTTTTTAAACAAGCACTGCAGGTTATTCTACTGGACACATTTTAGAGGAAGACGAGAAACTACTAATAGTAGAGGCCTTTTTTATTTTTTACATAGGGAAACAAATTATGACTTTTTCAAATAAAATTTCAAAAATCTTTACAAAGTGTGACAGCATGGTATACCTTATTGTTTTCAGCTATTTAAAATATTTATTTTTTAAATACTTGTGACGTTCATAAGCTCTCTAATTATTTCAATATATTAAGCACATATAATATGTTATACTTTTCCCTCTCAATAGATTTCCTTTTAACACTATCCAAATACTTCAATAATCACCACAATTTATCTCTGTGGAATAAAAACTCAATAATAATATCTTATAAACAGAATGACTCTAGATTCTCTGTGGACAGGGAGTTGATTTTAACAATAATATTTTAATATGCCTGATTCAGTATCAAAAATCACAAGGGTATTGAAAATATGAAAAATATCAAGCAGCCTGTGTCTTAAAAATATGAGGCCATGAAGTGATAAAAAAGAAACCATAGTTAGGCAGGGATGCATGTACTTTAACAAGCAGCAGCTGAGAAAAACTTAAAGCTCTGAGAGACGTACCCCATGGAGTAGATGAGATCAGCGTGGAGTGTATGCAGGACTTTTAAGAAATCTACTAGGCATGTCCATATATACTGCCCAGCATTTCTACGTGGTTAAACTGTTCACTTACTATTTCAATAAACATACAGCCAAAAACCTGTAAAATGCAAAGCAGTGCTATGGACAGTGCTCAGGTTACACTCTAAATAAAGTTAATTTGGTTTTCTGCCAATATGATCTAGTATTCAATAATACCATAGGACCCAGCCTTGTCTTATTAAAATTGCAAATTTTAGTAGAACTTACAAGTCAAAACGAAGATTCTCTCTTTCTTCGAAAAAGTAGTCCAGAATAAATTTTCTTACAAAATCCGGATTTAATGTGTTATCAATTACTTCGGTCCTTCCAAACTATTGAGAAAGAGAGAGACGGGTTAAATCAAGCCTTGCATGGTTACTTATTACAGTATAGTACTTAGTATTAACATAGTTCCTTGAAAACATAAGCAACAAATATCCAAGCGATTTGACAAAATAAAGTCCTTCAGAAAAGTTTTTAGAGATCAAATCATTCCCTCTTATTTTCTTAGGGAAATCAGAAAACGAGCACTGAGTTCATTCAAATTACTAGAAAAGCAGCTTCTGAAAATTCATATAACAAGCTGTAATACTTTTTCTCCTTTCCTCACCACTTGAATGCCAAACCCCCTTCTAATCAAAAAAAGTTATTTCTACCTTAAATTTAAATTTATCACATATATTTTGCCTAATTTAGTGCACAACTAGGTCAAGCAACACATACTTTTACAATCGGAGGGATCCAAGTGCTCATAATCAAGCAGCCCCTACACAGTATGGATATGAGCCACATTTGGGGGAGAATGTTTTTATCATCTATTACACACTTCAATCATTTGGTTTGTCTTTTGTTTTAATTCTTATGGTATCTAGAGAGCCAACATGGGACCTATGATTCTTACATGTTTTTAAGCTAGCGCAATGCACTTTTGCTTAGAAAAAAATGTTTCTCCATCTTAGGGGGAAGTAAAACCAAGAAATAAAACTCCACATCTATTCCTCCTTCCTTCCAATGTGAAGGAAAGCCATCAGGCACGGCCTCCTAAGATAGAACAGAAATGCAAACTTCACATCTCTTTTTTGTACAAGACTTACATTCTCCCCTCCTGCTGTCATGGAATTCTAATGAAGGAATTTGAAACTTTGGTTCTGAACAGCATTATGCATGCAGTCTTATCAGAGAACCAACTTTTATTAAAGTTCAAGGGAAAGCTATCCTTTTAATAAGAATAAAAGAACTGTGCTAATCCACTAAAAAGTGAAGGTCATGGGCTCATGTAAATTTTGATAATAAAACTATGGTACAAAATACTGATGGCAAAGGATTTACTATGGCTATTGTTAATTATTCAAAAAAGAACTGGTTTGCAGAGGCTGATGCATTAAACAATGTTTATATCATGGACAAATACCATACAGAAAAACCATAACCAAGGTAACTAATTCAACATTTCCAAAATACTGAGCATTTACTTTGAACAACAATAGTGATTACAGCCACTATTTATGGAATACTTACTTGGTTCTAAGTACTTTGCACGCATTACTTTAAATCTTTATCCTACCCCTGAGTGGTAGGTGTCATTTGTCCTACTGTATAGATGACAGACTTGAAACAGAGAGTCCCAAACTAAGTCCCTGTGGTAGAGTACACTCAGCATTCTTCCTAGGACTCTCCTCTATTTCAGCATAGAACACATTGGGTCCTGAAAAGGTTCCACAATGAACTTATCCATGGTTTCCCATTTTTAGGGAATGGGAACAAGAGCATGTACCTAATAACCACAGGCTGGCAGTGCAGAGGTCAAAGAGTACAAATCTGAACCAGAGAGTGCCTGGGCCCTCCCAGCCTTTCTACTGCCTGAGGGTGACATGGTTTCCAGACCAGAGCATCCAAGGGGCAAATGCACAATACTCTCAAAGAAACTCGGCCAATATTCATATACCCCAGTGCAACAAAGCCTCCTTGTGGATTTTAACCCACACTCACACTCAGTGGTAAGACGATAAAGTGCAGTTCCCCAGGGTAAACCTCACTGAATTGCAAGCCAGCAATTCCCAAGGGCCACTGAGCCATTAAAACATCCACAAGGCTGTTCTTCGGGAGCCCTGGCTGGTCAGCAATATGGGTGGCTGAGTACACGCTACCATCTCAAGGGAAGATTAATATGTAGCCATTAAAATTTTAGCTAATCTCCTATAAATTATGAACATCTATTACAATATAATTTCCGATGCACAGCCCTGAAATTGCTTTAGATGCTATCACCAATAACCCTCACACTGCTAAATCCAGTGGTCACTCTTTGGGCCTCCTCGCACAGCTGTCCACTCCTTCCTTTCTGAAGCCTTCTTTGCTGGCTTTTTGACAGCACACTTCCCCATTTCCCCCCTCGTAGATTCTCAGGCATGCAATCTTTCATTGTCAAAACACAGTTCCTGGCCTTCTTCAACGCTCCATCTCCACTCTTCTATTAGGTTAACTGCTTCTTTGGCTTCAAATCCCATCTACATGGTGGTAACTTCCAAGTGTGTATCATCAGCCCAGACTCACCTGACTATAGGCCTCTCACTGCATACAACTGTCTTCTTAACTTACACATTTGGTTGTCTTACAGGCCCCTCAGAATTATCATATAAAGTTAAATATCATCTAAACTCCAATCCTGGTCCTTACCAAGTCTACCCCTTGTCAATAAATGGCACCATTATCTTACTTGATTCCATAGGCCATAAATGGAAGTCACCTCCTCAATTCCTGTTCATGGCAAAGTCAGAAATTATCAATTCCAACTCTAAAACCCATCTTAGAGCTCTTCACTTCTCTCCATAGCTCCTGTCATTAGCTTCATTCAAGCTTTCATCTTTCTCATGATCACTTCAAGAGCCTCCTAACTCACATCTCTCCTTATTGTTGTCCTCTCTTCAACTCATCCTCCATATAACATCCAGAGTAATCTTCTGAAAAATGCAAACACAGTCATGTAACTCCACCACTCTAAAAGTCCTCATTGCACTTGAAATAAAACCTCTTATTTCAGCTACAGGGTCTGGACCCATCTACCTCTTGAACTTCATCATGGGCCATGGTCTTCCTTTAGACCCCTTTTCACACCAGATCCTTTCCATATCATGGCCTCTGCACCTGCTATTTCTTCTTCCTAGAATTCTCTTAGCCCCACTCTTGCATGGCTGGCTTTTTTTCCCACCCTTTAAGCCTCTGCTTAAATGTCAGCATTCGGGCTCTACGGAACACCCACTTTAAAGCTGGGCCCCACCTGTGAACTTACTCTCCTTATAGAACCAGTTTTTGTTCTTCATAAAATTTATACTTAGGAATTATAGTTTTATTTATTTTATTGTTTTATATTTCCCTCACCAGACAGTTGAGCCCCATGAAGATAAAGGACACACAATGTTTGACTTACACCTGTACAAAATTGAACAAATGGTTCACTAAAGGAGATCTGCAAAATATTGTTCAAAGTAAAAAAAAAAAAGATCAATGTATGGTATTTTGAATTTGATTAAAATATAAGTTTATATATATATATACAGATAAAAAGAGAAGGTATGCTAGAATGTAGAAATTATCTTCTAAATGGTTTTTTATTAGGTATTTCTGGGTTTTCCTAATGTCTTACAGTGAGTATGTTTTACTTTTAAAATCAGAAACATAAACCTTTTAAGCACTACTCCTGTTCCTCAGATACATTATGACTAGTTCAGCTCATGGGAAATGCGTTGGTTCCTTCCCAGAGGCTAGAATTATATTAGCTAAGCACCAAGTGATTAATCTTTTTGACTTGAAATAAAATTTGTCTTAGCTAATGCCTTATATTACTAAATAAAACTTTTCTAATTGCTAGGAAAATCTACAGTTACATATAATGCTATGCAGATGAGAGGGAATTAAAATTTTGAAGAAAGACAATTATTAATAATATTCAATAGTATACATCCAAAAACAGTTACATTTGAAAGAATTGTAACTTGTAGCCTCAAAAGTCTTTTTCTGAATATCAACCAAACTGGATTGTCAGAAGTACTTACAAACCTGATTATAATAATCTCTGGCACAATGACCTTATCAAAATGTGTGGACAGTCAAGCACTTTTACATAATTATACAGTATTAAGTTTCATCATCTCACAATTCAAAAAAAAATGTTAGAAAAATGTTCTTTTGCTCACCAAGTGTGAAAATTTTCAGTCATTTGGGAAAAAAGTATATAAACTGTTAATTTTGATAGACCATAAAACATTGTTTCTCATAAAATGTTAAGCAAAAAATAAAAAACAATTCAAGCCCAAGCAGGGCTGGATCAGTGGTTAGAGCGTCAGCCCATGGACTGAAGGGTCTCGGGTTCGATTCCAGTCAGAGCACATACCTCAGTTGTAGGCCCAGTCCCCCAGTGGGGGCACATTCGGGAAGCAACCAATCGATGTATTTCTCTCTCTGTCTCTCCCCCTCCCTTCCACGCTCTAAAAAAATCGATGGAAAAAATATCCTCGGGTGAGAATTAACCAAAAAACACACAGTTCAAAATCAAGACTTTGAAAGTTTCCCTTTGTTTTATGCTTAAACTAACCGGATAAATATGTACTTTTCCAATTTATGAACAAAATGATGGAATGGAAGTACTCCTGATTTCTAAATCAACTAATTGTTAGACTATTTGAGAAGAGCAGTACTGGAAAGAACACTCATCTATTTATGGCACCAAGCAGATGAACTCTTGTTTTGAGAAATATGTTCAGAAATGTTTAACATTATGAGGGCCCAGAACAACCACCCAGCAGCATATTCATTTTTCAACTGAAGTAAAAGTGATGAGGGAAAAGGTCCCCTGGCCCAGCACACATCTCTAATTCAGTTACTATATTAGAGTTGCATCTCAGTAGCGGTGATAGAGAGGACAGTCTGCAGAGGTTAGACTAGAAGACTAGATAAACTGAGCAATGCAGACATAATATTAAGATAAAGTCAATGAAAAGAGCCTCAGTTTAGGACTATACAAAAGGCACCGAGTGGAAGCGCACGTGGGCGCCATGTACACAGACCCAAAATTGAAGATTTACATTCTTATACAATTCCTCTCGGAACTTAAACACTGGGATTACCAGAGGATCCATGGATCTTTTCTTCTAAGGGAAAGAGATATAGTTTTGTTATGTAACTCACTATCCAAGACTCGTCTTTTTTTACAAATTAATAACCTTAAACTCAATTATAAGAAGGCTAGTATAAAACCTGAAGGCTTTATCAAGATCTTACATTATTATAGATCAATGAGATGTAGCTATAGAAGTACATATATATGTACACACAC